ATACTTTTACATTAAATTTTGTCCGATGATATTTCATCAAACTGCAATACTTCAAAGACAAAAATATTGCAAAGAATATCAATTTTCAATTTTATGTTATTTAGAAATAAAAAGTAGAAAAAGAATATTAAATTATACGCAAATTTTAAGTCCTATCTTTGCTTTAAAGTACGTCGTCGAAAATTTCTCTACGATTTTTTTTTCATTGAGATTAATTTTTCATGAAAAGCAAAAAAATCACAAATATTTCCAAACTTTGGCCGGAGATAAATTAATTTCAATTTGTTATGTTTACATTGAGTACACAGTTAAAAATACGAATCTACACACTTCTAACTGACGATAAGTCGAAGACACACAATACATCACAAGCCATATAGCATAGGTATAACGATGCTATACTGAAGACGTGCGTGAGTAACGCATGATAGAGCGTAATTAAAGGAAAACGATGGCTTTGGATGGAAGATTCCATAATTGAGAGGAGAAAAAAAAAAGGAGAAATGTGTATAAAGGAAATCGGCAACTTCGATTGAGAAACATCACCGGTATTTCGACAATTGAACTTGACGCATACACACTTACATCGACTTATATGATCGACCGGCCGCGTTTCGCGTCTCGCGTCTCGCTCCGATTCACAGATACGTGAAACGATTAGACATCGGAAACTGACCGTTGTAACGAACGACTTCAGCCTTGACTGGATTGCGAATAAAATTTCTTTCTTTTCGAGACGATTCATCATTGGCGCGCAAGACGCCAATAAGAGGAAATAAACACGAAGAAGTTCCTCGCTATCAACGAGGTTGCGCCGCGTTGGCTTCTGAGAACGCACGGAATCGTTACACGAGAGTAAGTATTGGTTGAAATGGCTAAAATAAACTGGTGCAGGTTAGGGGATCGAGGAACAGCTGGGCTCGGCTGTCGGCCTGGGCTGCTACACAGTGCACAGTACGCGCCATCACTGACTCACTCAATCCCTCCATTTCTTACTATTTCGTCCGCTCTCTCACTTCTGCTTTTATCTTTCGGTCGGCTTTGTCGCTCCTCACTTTTCGCTACCTCCTTCCCTCCTTTCTCTCTTTTTTTCATCTCTTTTTTTCATAATTTTTTTAATTAGGATTGACGATTTCGTCCGGATTTGTAAATTGTAGATCTGGATAAGATAGATAATGTAATTATCCAGAGTATTCGAATGAATTTGGATAAAATATTATATGCAGATCTCCACATATAATATTTTATCCAAATTCATTTTATCTAAATATTCCGGATCCAATTCTTCGAGTCCATTATCTCATAAATCCTTCTGATTTTGATCCAAAATGATTTGAGCCGAATTTTTTATTTGTATATGTGAACAAAAAATTGTGTGCGTATCCGTTCCCCTTTTTTAAATCTTTTTTTATCTTCTCTCTTTTTTTCTCCTTCCTCCTCCCTTTGCTCGTTCTCTCTCTCTCTCTCTCTCTCTCTCACGCGCGCGCGCTCTCGATATGCATCTGCTAGCTGATTATAGTGATCGTTGTGATGAGATATAGATATAGAGAAAGTATCAGGTGATTCTAAATCCGGATTCGGATCCGAAATCCGCGATTCGAATCTAAAATCCGAAATTCTGATTTGAAATCCGATCCGGGATTTGAAATTGAATATCCACTTTAATCGGACATTTTATCTCGGATTTATTATACTTCTATTTCTCGGATATTTTTTGGATAAACGGATCGTCAACTCTATATATTTTTTTTTTAACTAAGAATATGTTTAACAAGTTAAAAATGGTTCGTTTTCTTGCTTAGCAATAAATAAAATATTAAAAAACGACAATAATTATGAATAATAATATCAGGATGACAACGTGCTTAATACTATATATTTTTTCTCTTACAAGTGAAATACAAGTGATTAACGTTTCGACTTCACAGAATCTTTTTCAAAATCTTTATAACATCTAAATCGTATATATGATTTGATACATATAGTCAAGCTTAATGTACTAAGAAACCAAAACGAAACGAAAGATCTTTATATTGCATATCAACTTTGTGAGATCTAGTTAAATATCTTCAATTCTCAATTTTTGTCGTCAAGCAATAAAATAAAATTGATTTCTCATTGTTCAGTGAGAATCATGGTATGTCAAGATGAAGTAGTTAACAAGTCTAAATAGTAAATTATCAGTGGAAAGAATTAATTATAAGTAAAATATAGAGAAATAAGAAAAGACTTACAACTTCATTTCAAATTTTTGGTCTCTTGTCGTTGACATCTCACACACAAGCGAATAATTTCAATAGTATATAAATAAACGTAATAGAGAGTTCACAAAATTATTCAAACTGTGTCAATTCGTCTATTGGACAAATCGTTGAGAACATTAAGATAGAAATCATCCAATGTCTTTCATACAATTAACTCCATTTTTTTGTTCCTCAATAGAGATCATTTCAAGAATAAGCCTCTTCTGTTGATTATGTTCAAAATCTAAAATCTTAGTATTATCCCAATCAAAATTTTGATTATAATTTAAAATATGTTTTGAAATCACTGAGTGTTTCGATGTGTTTCTAATCTCAAATTGTTCTTGTGTTCTTTTATCCTAGTTTTTAATTTTCTCTTCGCGTTTGGCCTACGTACGACGCGTTACAATCTTTACAGTTGATTTTATAGATCACATGACTATTTTCTTCCCTATTATTTTTGTCTCTATGTGTTCGAATGATTTTATGTAGAGGCCGAAAACCTATTATGGTCGATGATTTTTTTTAAAAACGAATGTAACGTAATCAGATATGCCTTTTATGTAAAAAAATACTCTAAACTCTCTGTTATTATTATACATTAATTTTCTTCTACATTAATGAAAAGTTGATGTTTTTCCTCCATTTCTTGTTTTGCAAAGAGATGTTTCAATCTTCTGTTAATGATATTAAAAAAAAATTTTAGAGGATAACCATTGTCCAGCAGTATGTTAATGCAACATTTCAAATTCTCATCGTGAAACGAAGGATGTGATTTGGAATATGCTTGTCTCCGCCACAATTTGTTCTTTGCTAGAGGAATACATTTTCCGAATGTTGACGTCTCCAAATTGATTTAATTTATATAACAAATTGTTTTCCAGCATGCTAATGTTCATTGAATGTTCGTTTTATATTATATTATACTTGTTTACTGTTTGATTCTGAACAATTAACTAACATTCTGAAAAATTCTAAATTCAACAAGTAGGATCCAAACGTTGAACAAACGTTGCAAGTATATTATTTCGTTGTCGTCATTTGTGTTTGATGCGAATTTTTTCGAAACATTTTGTTCAAATACTTATATCAAAATAAACAAAAAGTACGAGGTCCGAATTGTTCTAAAAACAGATCAATCATCAGAAAAATATTAAGAATAGGACAAGGAAGAGAGTGGTAAAAAAGATGAGAGAAGGGAAGGGAGTTGTGAGCCTGTTTTCGGCCGGGCGTATACATGTACATGGCTTCTGTTAAGGCCGTAGCACAGACTTTTGCATAACACAATGTATACTATATATAAAGAATTTGATTAGTTTATTAACACATATATAAAAAAATGGGCTAATGAAATTTCTTATACATATGCATTATGTGTTCTGCAAAAGTCTGTGCTCTCGCCTTCTTTATCCTCTTCTCCTTCTTCTTCTATTTTTTTAATGACGCTTGCCAATGAAATGTCTGCGAATCCGGCCGTAACACCGCTCTCTTTATCTCCACTGAGCTGTAGCATGGCTATGTGGCATTGTGACAATGTGACTGATCTGTGCTGTGATATCATAACACTTTTACATGGCGTAAGCTTGCTATTCGCTAAAACAGGCTATATGATCAAAATTGACAAATAGCAACCTCACATTCGACGTTTGACACTCTCATGATGTAAGAAGACAAAATATACATATCGACCTCTATATGTCGCATGTCAGATGCCGGTTGTTTCATTGCTGTAAATAGTGTCGTGAATGTTTAATATTTTTGTAGTGAACTGCAGATTATGCCAGGTAAATCTAGTATCTTTTCTTATCCAGTCTATTCTGCAAGTTTATATTTACACAAACTTGCATAGCCGCATAGACATATGCATAAAAAAAATTATCTAATAAATAAAAAATTATCTATACTATTTTACGTACGTATTATCCTTATAATAGAAATATGATTGGATAATTTTCTTTATGTATACGTTTATGACTATGCAAGTTTATATAAATATACCCTAACTCATTGTGTGGATATATAAATGTTATAGTTGCCCATCTTTTAGTAAGGATAAAAAAGCTGCGCAACGACAAAGTTATGATATCAACACTATATAATGAGTTACAGAATAAACATGCTGAAATTATAGCTAGGAATTATCTTTTTCCGAATATTACAGTATTAGTAGTTGTGAGTCAATCGTTTATAGAGGTTAGTATAATCAGTTATTTAGAAGAGCAATTATGATGATTACTATTGTTACAATAATTAGTAAAAATTAATTTTTACAAGTGTTTCCATGTATTCCATATGAGGGAGGAAATTGATAGCATTTATTTGAATATAAATGCCAGATATTTTATCACGAATATTGTCAAAATTTCGAAAACGTGAATAAAAGTTATCAGTAAACGTCAAATACCAAAAAATGATAAAAATGTCAATAGATTCAGTACAAAACATATCAGATGATGATTTCTTTTTGGGAGAAGGAACATCAAATAATGGCTAGTGCCATTATTTGCTCGTCAAACACAAATTCTTCTCATAGTGCTTCCTTGAGTGATGTACCTACAATCTCTTCAGTTAACGATAATTATTCTATGGATTTTATCTAAACCGATTGATGCTGAAGGCAATTCTGTTTTGCACATGCTCCCAAGAAATGTAGTATTACATCCAACAAGAATAACTGAATCATTTTCAATGATTATATTAATAGTAGTTCATCAGAATCAAATAAAGAATCAAATATTGAGTCATTAGTTGTACGACTTCGAAGATGATATTGTTCTTCATGTTATGTTAATTTGACTCAACTGAAAATGCTGCTAATTGCACTTAAACCAAATCATCCAAACTTGTTTTTAGACCCACGGTGTGTAGTACAAATACCAGTTTCTGTGAATATGAAATCTTTGAACAACGATAGTTACATTTATGTTAATATTAAGCAGGGACTCGTGAAACATATGGAGAGTGGGATAAAAAACTTTTTACAGTTAGGTATAGATATAAATATTGATGGCTTGCCAGTTTCCAAAAGCAGTTCTGTGAATGTTTAGCCCGTACTGAGTAAATACATAAGACTATATGACCAAAGGCCATTTGTGATCGGCCTTTTCTGTGGATCAGGCAAGCCAAAACCACTGGATTCATATCTTATTGATGAACTTATAACACTTCAGAATGATGGTATTAATTACAATGATCAAGTATTCAGAATTTTTGTTAATTGGTTTATTTGTAATGCATCAGCTTGTGCATATTTAAGTGTATTAAGTGTCATCTCAGGATATAATGGAAAGGTGCATACAAGAAGCAGAGCATGATGGTGCAAAAGTGGTATGTTATGATCAACTGCCAGAACAGATGAATCTTTTAATCTTCAAAACAGACGAAAGCCATCATACTGGTATATCTTCACTTACTGAATTGTCTATCAAATTTATTACGCAATTTCCTTTGTATTCTATGCACTCGTTATGACGAAAAGATTTCTTAGTTATCCTTTACTAAATACTAAATCAGAAGCAAAATTGAGAGCATTAGATACAAACCAAATTTCTTGTCTCTTGGAAGAGTTTTGTATTTTTATCCCAAAAGAGTGCTCGTTTGCTCATAAACCTTGTTTTTTACACTGTGTTGCTCAATGAAAAGCGACTGAACACCAATTGTTCCTATTATATACAGGAGTAGTTCTTAAACAAGTGCTTTCACAGGAGTTATATGATCTTTTTCTCCTGTTGCATGTGGCTGCAAAAATAGTTTCTTGTGAACAACTTGTGAAGAAGCTTATGCTGATTTTGCAGAAAAACTTTTTGCAGCTTTTGTTGAACACTGTGCGCATCCAACGGTTTTGGATCTGGTTTTGTATCATATAATATTCATAGCCTTCTGCATTTATGTGATGATGTTCGTCGATATGTTATAGAAAATTTTTCTGGATTTTCATTTGAAAATTATCTAGCAGTGATTAAACGCTTGGTTCGATCTGGTGCAAAAGTTCTCCAGCAGCTTGCTTGACGACTGGCTGAAATGAATTTTGTATGAATTTCAACTTCCACTCATGTCATAATTGCCTTCAGGCAATTCATCCACAAATGAGTATAAGACATTGTTCAACAAAAATTTCACTCTCTCCATTAATTTGAAAGACTCATTCTTTTACTCAAATGAGAGTGTTGTTGAGGTGAAGAAAATTTTCAAATCCGAAATAGAATTGTTTGATTGCTGATATTTGTGATAATCTTCACTTCTTCGAGAATCCAATTAAATCTAGCAAAGTGGGCATCTGGAAATTAGATAGCTGGAATTATCGAAATGTTCCAGTTTAGAGACAATTTATGGAAAATATACAGTTCTTCCATTTAGAAATGAACGTATTGCTCTCAGATTGCTTCATACGTCTTAAAAGGTACAATAGGTTGTACATATTACATGTTTTTTTCATTTGTTGGTATCTAAAATGTCCTTTGCAAAGATTTAGGAGCATCTCTCTTTTCTTGTTTTTTTTTCTTTTCCTTCTTTGTTCTTTTTGATAATATTTTAAAATTAGATTTTTTTAAAACTTTTTTTTGTAATTTCTATTTTCAGATTGTATGCTGTGGTGAAATTTATACCTGATCGTACAGGTAAGACACCACAAGCAGCAATTGTATTGAAATCATGATTTTTGCCAGACAAGAAATGTTGGTGGCCTTATCATCTGAAAAGCGACGTTGCAAGAAAGTTATTGTCAGAAAGTTTTAATATCACAGAGCCCGATGCAGGTTTTACAAAATGTAGTTTTTTACGAATTCTTCATGAATATAGTATGTATAATTCTGATGTTTGTGTTCCATACCATGAGTTGCTTTTTAAAACATTTTATTGAGTACTAAACTAAGTATTCACTCCGTATACATGCAGAGATGCTCAATTTGGACTTCATAAATCTGAAGTCCAATCAGATTTGGAATCAAACAAAGAAGAGTCCCTCATATCGTCAAAAGAACACCGTATTAAATGAATTTTTCAAATGGACAGTGAGGAAGATGATCGTCCATTACAAAAAACATCTAAGGCACCTCCTGTCATTTCATTTCCTGACAGTGCAGATAGTGAATTAAGGAATCGAATGTGCTCCATGACCAAAAATCAAGAATGTAATATGAAGCAATCTTCGGTAGCTAAGAAAAGAGTAGAAGAGCCGTTGAAGAAAATATCCAACCCGAATGCAATAAAGAAACACAAGTTATTTGAAAATATCTCTGGGATAGTTAAGAAACAAGCAGATAAAATAGAGCTTGCCTCTGCATCGAGATTGAAGCAAAGTAAGTTTTTAATGAATGTATTGCATTACATTTATGATATGCATATTATATACTACTGTAATATTACATATTTTCCAGAGCTATCTCTTCAGAAATGCAATACAAGCATGAAATTGGACAAGTTTCTTAAACAGATCTCCACAGAAATATCTCATGAATCAGTTAAAACTTCTTTTGCTTCACCTTCAGTGGAGGAAAAAATCAGTCGAAAAGGTACAGTAGATATTATTTCACCTACAAAGCAGAATACATCTCGACGTGAAGCTAGAAAAAAATTTTCTTCAGTTACATCTTCGAAGGAATGCATTTATAGTCGAAAACCAAGAGCTCATTCGACACCACCTTCTTCTTCAAAGTAGTGAATTTCGGATAAGAATAAAGCGAACTCCGCTTCACCTTCATCGATTAAAAGAAGTAAGTTTCGTAAGAATTTTGTTCTCGAGTGAACGTTATTTAATTTTCATTCAAACATTGTAAAATTTTTTTACTGTATTATTTTTCATTTATTTATACTTATATTCTTCATTCTTATTTATATTCTTCATTCTATTTGATGTGTTTTCATTATATATGTATAGTATAGGGCAGTACTTCTGTTTTGTCAGTAAATAATGCTATTGTAGAAATCAATACTAGAAGTATTCTCAGTTTCTAGTTGATCCATCAGTGATCAGAGAGCTGACGTTTTATCTTCGTCTCTTAGCCATAGTAATATTGGTTCTAACATGAGCAAATCTGATATAGAAGACAATAATGTTGAGAATTCACAAAGAAATAATCATGACGATGAATATGCTTATAACAGTGATGATAGTACACTGTACAATGCAAATTCTAGTCATGATAATCAAGTTGAAGTACCGAAAAAAATCACTGGCATGGATAAAATGTTAAACTTAAATACCTCATTGATTTTCGATGTATGGATACTAATTTACTCTTCATTACTGTTATTGTAGATATGGTAAAAAATTTGATTTATATGATAAAAGTAATGAAAGGAACTCAACGTAATCATGGAATATTATTGGAGGAAATAGTGTAGCGACTCAGGAATAAAGGAATAATCGTATTTCATCTTAAAGGAATACTCATTGAAAATATCAGTACAGCAGAGAAAATAGAGAAATGTTTAGCTTCATCCACATCACAAATGGAATACCTTATAAGAATAAATTTGAAGCCCATTTAGTGATTTTCACAGCAGAACATAAGATATTCTCTTACAATAAACTTTTGAAAAAAGTGTTAAATATTTACAGACTAAAAGACTTTCCACCGAAGATGAAACTGAACTATTTTTGCTACTCGAGTTTAAGAAGAAGAGGTATACTATATAACGCGCATGAAAAATCGTAAACAATTAAATATTTCGTAAACTGTTGCGTTTTAATTTAACATGATTTATATTATTCTGGATTAATGGGAGGAGTACACTATTACTACAATTTATTAAAACTTATATGTTATTTAGAATGCCCCCCGCTCCTTATTGATGCCTAAGGTCGCTGAGCGGCCGTGATTGCCGAGAAAACATTTTCGGTCGCTTGAAACAAATAATTAGTATGAGAAGGAGCTTGCTGTCTCGTTCACTCTCAGCACGCTGCAGGCGAACACACGGACATGGGCACGTGCTTAAGTATGTGGCTACCATTTTGCCAGACCGTCGTCTGATTCTGTGTCGCCACCGTCAACGCAGAGTTCTTGACTGAGTCTGAGTAGTCAGGAGCCTTAAACCCGATTAAGCATGCCGTGTAACAGAAGTCAATAATAAAGTACTTGTTATATTTCGTTATAAGCTTTAAAGTGTTCTTAAAAATGTTATATATTTAATAAATATTGAATAAATTATTAATTGGAAATAACATTTTTTAAATAACATTACCATCCGAAGCGCCACTACGGTCTAAGTATTAAGATGTTGAACTAATATATATATTATTCAAACGAATGAATTAATTTCAGAAATAATATTAGGTGTTGGAATTAATTCGTAGCGTTTTTAATGAAAGAATGTTATTTATTTCACATGAGCATTAAAAAATACATTAATGAAAGTACTTCCCATCACTTGTAAAACGCTACGAATTAATTCCAACACCTAATAATTACGTGTCGATATGGTTGTCGACATTAACGCAATTAATCTGAAATGTAATAATCCCCCCAAAATTCCCCAAATTAATCTTAAAAAACTGTGATAAACTTATTGCGAACATTTTTTAAAGTTATTTTAAATGGAGGACGATTCAGTTATAAACTGTTGTTGGCTTATTTGTTGGTATAACCAACAAATGCAAGTTATTAAATTATATATGTTAGTATATTTCTATCAAATAAATGCACGAAGAAGGAAAGCAGCTGCAATTTGGAATTATATTTTAGTTGACCATGTTTGTATTTTATAGATTTAACGTAACATTTTATAGGTTATAATTCGTAATTTTATATTAGGTGTTGGAATTAATTCGTAGCGTTTTACAAGTGATGGGAAGTACTTTCATTAATGTATTTTTTAATGCTCATGTGAAATAAATAACATTCTTTCATTAAAAAACGCTACGAATTAATTCCAACACCTAATATAATGTGAACAAATACGTTGTTCTAATTAAATTGAATATATACAATTTTTCTTCTTTAATTACATTTGTTATTTCCATTTTGCATATAGACGATTTTTGCGTGGTTTATGTAGATTTGTAATTTGATATCAAATATTCACAAACATTCGTTAAAAATTTCGTTAAAAAATTTCTGCGAACAGCGATTACTCGCTAGCAAACAGTGAATGATTACGTGACTTTCAATCGCGGCGATTTTCTTGTTGCATGAATTTGTAGCTTTACTGCTATAATCTTCCAAAAGTTATTATTCGGTGTGATAACCTTCATAAGGTGTGTGAAGGTCAAAGTCATCGGAGATGAATTATCCATTTTAATAACTTCTCAATGATCAACAAGCGACTACTAAAACTCTTCAATGTTCATTCAGGGTCATAATCTTGACAATATATGTCAAGGTCAATATTATCGGAGTTGAATTCCCTATTTTATTTTTAATAACTTTGTAACGTGTGATGGGCGACTGTTATAACTTTCCAAAGGTTATTCAGTGTGATTATCTTCATAATGGGAGAGTCAAGATCATCGGAGGTGAATTGTTCATTTTAATTTTAATAACTTCTTAATAATCAACGAGCGACTGACAAAATCCTTTAATGGTTACTCAGGATTATGACCTTGACAATATATATCAAGGTCAGCATCATCAGAGTTGAATTCCTTATTTCATTTTTAATAACTTTTTAACGTGAAATGAATGATTGCTAAATCTTTCAAAGCAAATGTAGCAGAACAACAAGTATCGTATAACATAGACCGCAGGTCTATGTTAAGTAATAATTCCAGACTGAAAAAAGGAATAAAATTAAGTAAAATATTAGCGAAATATTTAAAACACTGATAAAAACGCCACCCAAAGTTTAAATTTTTACAGTCAAGAATCTTTCGATGGTCCTTATTTTATGAATCATTTGACTGACTGAATAACTAATTGAAAAGGAAAATTTTATACAAATATATTTGTATAAAAGGAGGATGAGAAATAAAATAAATAAATTTATATTAAATTAAATTAATTTTATTGTAAATTTTATCGTTGATAAAAACGACTTAATAATGACATTGCAGTTTTTTTATGATTGCAATGATAACTACACTAATTTTGTGCTAAGCTTGGAAAAGTCACTTTGAGAAGTAATTCTTAATTTACGTGATAAAGTACTAAAATAAAATAACGTAAGTACTAAGACATAAATAATTTCTATAATATATACTTGTATATAGGATTATTTCTAACTATGGATGTTATTAAACCCGATTAAGGCCCGATTTCATAATATATGGTTACTTAAAAATTAAGATAACCAAGAAATTTATGAATGAATTTCATTGATAAATCTGTTGGTAACTTTTAATCTTTAGCTAACCATTGTAAAAATGGGTCTAAGGGTGTAAACGTAATCTATTAAAAAACTATGAAAGTAGTCTATGACTATGATGTCATAGTTGTTAGGTGTAATTTCAAAACACATAACTGGTGCTTACTTCAACTGATCAGCTTACCTCAATTGGTGACCATATTTCCGGTTTTGGTAATTATTTTGAATATGGACTGCATCTCCGATTTTGATGAAATTAGTCTCATTCGACGCGTTTTTGAAACAAAAGAATCTGTAAGAAAAAATGTTTGGTCCTCTCGAATCGAGATATTAAGCATTAAAATTGATCATTATTGAGGTTAGGAAATTTGTCACAGAGGCAAAATAAGGTCTATAATTGTACTGTTCTATATGGGTTTCGACTTTCCACGTGAAGCGACTCTCACTTCCCTCCTCCCTTGCAAAGGGACGCACTCAAAAGTTTGTTCGCGTCGCATGCTCCAAATTAACCTAGAGAACACTTGGATCACAGATAAAGTGGCGGTTGGAGCAGTTGCATTCATATGCTTCAATGTTCAGTGACACAAACGGATTTAGGATAAGTGTGCATGTCACCTAACCTAATCCGTGAAACCATTCGGACATGTGCCTTGTTTCGGGTGTTTTGTATTACCTCGATTATTATTTGAAAAGCGGTTTTATGCTAAATAAATGCGTTTTTTTAATAAATATAAGTTATATTATTGTATATTTTTGTATTATATTATTGGGAATACAAATTAGTTTGGTTCGTTTTTTTGTGTTCACAAATGCATTTATTTCAAAACAAAATGAATGAACAGATTAATTAAAGTATTGTTCATCGCTGGCTACTACTTTTTCTCATCTCTCAGGCAACTCTCGAAAAAATGACTTGTCTTTGGAGGCGATCCAATTTTGGAGAAGTGAACCGATGACTTGTCAAATCGTGCTGCATCCTTCGGAATAATCAGTAATCAGAAGGAGCAATGTCCGGAGAATACAACGGGTGTGGTAAAACATCCCATTTGAACGTTTCCAAATATTTTTTTGCGACATGAGGCCGAGCGTTGTCATGAAGAAAAATAATTTTATCATGTCTTTGCTCGTATTGCGGCCGTTTTTCTCGCAATGCACGGTTCAAACGAATCAATTGTAGCCGATACCCATCGCCCGTAATAGAATCCCCACGG